ATATATATATATATATATATATATATATATATATATATATATATATATATTCATAGGTTTTAGTGTTTAGGGTTTATTGTTTAGGGTTTATGCCTTTTTCAGTTTTCTCTTTGCTTCGACGGTTGTTTGCTTTGGGTTTAGGGTTTAGGGTTTAGGGTTTAGGTCTTACTCCCAGATGAAAAGCCAAATGAGGAGGGCGGTTGTGCTGATGCAGACGACGAGTCTTCCTCTCAGTGGGTTGTTAAGGAGTTTTGGATCTTTAACTTTTCTTCTTCTTTTTCTGTTTTTACCAATTCCTACTTTTGCTAACAAAGGAGAATGAAATGGATTAACGGGTGCACGCCGTTGCACCTCCCCAGAAGGAAGCGTGTGCAAAGCTGCTTCATCAACAACAGGTGTACCTTCTGCTGCTGCTGCTGCTGCTGCGGCTGCTTCTGCTGCTGCAGCTTCGTCCTCTGCTGCTGCTGCAGGAACTGCTGCAGGCGGAGAAGTACCAGCAGAAGGAGTCGGCGGGATAGGGGCGGGAGGCGGCGAGTGGGGCGACTGCATGCGAAGACAAATCAAATGTAGTGAGGTGTCTGTACACCCCAAACCTCGTGTTCATTTATTGCATTTTCTCAGCAGCAAACAAACAATGCAATTATCTCTTCTTCTCCAGGTACACCTAAACCCTAAAACGTAGACCCTAATCGCGTGCAAACCCTAAACCCTAAACCCGAGACGCAAAACACTAAAAGCTTAAACCTCTCATGTGTAACCCCTGAAGCCACTAGACAGAAAAAGAAGTGCAGCCTAACCATCCCAGGTGAGAGAGGAGGCGTTAGTTGCTGTGTTTTGGGTGTATGTACAGAAGCTGGAGCAGAAGGAGGGGCTTTCCCGTTGTTATCGAAGCGGTTGCTGCCTTGGGGTGTGCTGACGCCACGGTCGTGTAAACCCTCGGCATCAGCAGGGTAAACTGAATACAAAGGCAACAGAAACACAAAGTAACATGCATGCATGTCGGCACGCATGCATGCATGCATGCATCCATGCATGCATCCATGCACGCATCTATGCATGCATGCATGCACGGGCGGAAAAGAGAGAAAAAAACTGTTAGACACCACAAAAGATAAGACAGGAGGAGAGACAAATGCTTCATGCAGACGAACACCAGATATACAATCAGACCAGTATAACCATGGATGCTAACTTGTAAACCCTAGCCATAAACCCTAAACCCATTTTCAGACTCTGAATGTATTGAGGGGCGTTTGTTGTTTACAACAGCAGCTGTGGGCTGAAGCACCCAAGCGAAAGGAGAAAGAATGCTAAGGAAAGTCGGAGGTTTCCACAGGAATTAGGGTTTAGGGTTCAGGATTTAGCGAGCGGTGGGTCAGTTACACAGCGTTCAATGTTGTGGGTGTAGAGCTGATGGTTTACAGGAGACCTTGGGGCGCACAGTCTAGGGTGTGGGGTGTTGAGTGCAGAATGAGAAGGTCCGTTGGACAGGGTTTAGGGTTTAGGGTTTAGGGTCTGGCGCGCACCTTGCGACGAGGGTTTGGGGGGTGGCGCGTGCGGGCGGCGGCTGTGGGGCCCCTTGGTGGGGATCACTGCAACCGGCTGCATGCCTTCTTCCATTTTGATGAATAAATTATGTGTTGAAAGCCCAGGAATTGGAGTTTGTTTGGCTATAAATGCTGCGTTGGTGGTGTTCGTTTGTTTGCCGCCTCTAGGGATATCATCAGCAGCATGCAGGCCGAAATTAACAAATTCATGAAAAAGAAAAAATAAGGGAGGCGGTTGAAGGACAGACAGCTCCTCCTCCTGCTGCTGCTCCTCCTGCTCCTGCTGCTGCTCCTGCTGCTGCTGCTGCTGCTGCTGGGGGTCGTTTCAGCTAGCTGCGGCGGTTGCTGCCTTCTCTCCTCTCTTTGACTCTTGTTTGATTGCAGATTAAGAGATGGAATGCTCCATCAGACCCTTTTAAACGAAGTTAACGGAAAGAGAAAGAAAAGTAAGGGCAGAACACCGCAGCAGCAGCAGTAGCTGCTGCTGCTGCTGCTGCTGCGACCTCTTCCGCTTTCAGAGCAAAACAAAACTGGAAGCTGAAAACCGAAAAAACTTTCGGTGCTGCATGCAGTTCTTTTCTTTGACTATTTTTTCTGTCTCTGGTTGTGCACTTAGGCTCGACAAAAAGCAATAAATATATTTAGTTTCGCATAGAATATCCTTTCAGCACACATCTGACCGCACCGGTACTGCTGAGTGACCGCTGGGCTCTCCAGGGTCGCTCGCGTGAATAAGGGGGGTTATTCTCCCCATAAACATCATTTTGTTGCTTTTTTATTTAGCCAGTTGATTAATTAATTTATGTTGATGAGGAAGAACAAGAGATGAGAGGCAAATACAGCCTAGATGCCTTCAAATAACCGTCGGTTAAGATAGCAATAAACAGAACTACGTGGATCCGCTCGCGTCCACCTCACTGCATTTATTCATCATCTCTGTTTTCTTTAAATTCTCATCTTCACTTTCTTCTCTAATATTCATAAATTCAAAGAAATCAACTATTATTTAGCTCCTGTCTGCTCCACGCGCAGCTCAGGCCATACATTGTTTAACCCTGTTGATGCACTGCCGCGTGTAGCTGTGCTTATACGAGCACATTTACTACCTAATATACGTGTATATATATATATATATATATATATATATATATACATATATATATATACATATATATATATATA